CTTGTCTCCCCGCCCTCTTTACTTCTCCTACAGTCTGAATCAGGTTGGTTGTGTAGTTTATGACTGTATGTTGTAGGAACAGCTGATGCAATACAGAACAGTTGTCTCATCTGAACTCAGTCCTGACTTCACTGTTGCTTTGGTACCATGGACAGCTCCAAAATGATGACGTCACACTCTCCTCAGCATGCTGTGTGCTGCACCACTGAGGTTACAGACCTGGGGTCTCATTTATAAAACAATGCGTAGGATCCATACCAAAAATGTACATACGGACAGAAGCCAAAAATGGCATCCGCCAAAAAATATTCGACAATATCTACAATCAGGCTCCCGCCGCATCACCAATTTCCTGTCTCTAAAATGTTCTCAAGCAAGGATCAATCTAACATCAACATGTATGATACTGTAAAATATTGCTTCTCAAACATCAGCAGTGGAACTACACTTGCAGCAGCTATCTCTCCCTATCTTAACCAAAGTGTTTTTCTTGCCTTAACCTAAGACAGGAGTCAGAGTTCTGGTGTCAAGGTCCTGCACTTTGTATGCCCGAAGTCTCCACAATGTAGTGTTTAGTTACCTGTGAGAAAAATTGTCTCTGAACATAAACCAGCCAGTGATTATATTGCCACAACAACATCATTAAGAAAGCAGTTTCGCAACTTTCAAAGGTAATTTTAAGGAGACATGGTTGACAACAACATACATGTCAAAATGTTGCATTGTCCAAATGGGGACCAGGGCTTCTCTCCCAGTGTTTAGAACGTTAGAATGGTTCAAGTTAAACTTCTGAAAGAAGTGACTGATTGGCTGATCAACCCCCAACCCACTTGTCTGGACCAATACAGTTTCAGCCCCCACCTTACTAGCTTTATCCAAGAGTTGAAAACAGCTTTCACATTTTCCAAATCATGAGCACAAAAAAACTGTAGCCGAACCCGTGCCTTCAACATATCCTTCAAGGGGGGTTCAGAATTTTCATGACAAACCCCCGAAACGCCATCATCAGTCACCAGCTCCTTCACCTCCTCACAAGGTGTCTCCATGCTGGGTGGGACAACAGCTTCATGAGGTTGTATACCACTCTAAGAGGTCTGGAAAGCAGGAAGCTCACTGAATGCACTTCAGGACAGGCAGGAACCACGTCTGGCCACTATGAAACAATACAAGTTTATGCAGAATGGATGGCAACATTTGGAGGCTTTTCATCAGCCCAGACATGGTTCACAGTCAAGTAACTGCCTATATAATGCTCACCCAAGCGTCAACCTCAGAGAATAAAACATGAAGCCAACATGGAAGTGCCTATAAAACTGCAGTTCCTCTAATGTCCACTTGAGGCTGGCTCCAATAAACGAGTCAATCCTCATAGACCCCCATGTTAAAATGTCCGACTTTACAGCAGAAATAAATGTGTTCACAGTCTGATACAAAAACAGTTTTGGTCTCTGTAGCTGATTTCAACATTCATAAATTTGAGTCAAAATTTTTTCATCTATTCTAATCATTTACTCTGACTGACAGGCTGTCTGCGAGGCGTCGCTACAGCCTATGAATCAGATCCACCCCTCAATCCTTCACAGCTCCACCTTCTCAGCCAAAAATGGTCACTTCTGGCTCCAAAAACCAAGAAGTTGACAGCCAAAATGCCAAAGTCAAGGCTTCAATACAGGAGTCCACAAACCAATGGGTGACATCACAGTGGCTATGTCTATTATTTTTACACAGTCCATGTGTCTACGCTAATTACAGGTAGGACAAACACCCAAACAGACGTCCCTTTGAACTACGTTTGTACAGGTGTTTGTCCTGAACTGAAACTGAAATATGTACACTCAGTTTCAGAGACAAATATGATACGATACAAACAAAGCAATACGATACGATATGACATGCGATATACTTTATAGTCCCCTTAAAGACATTCATCTTGGACTCAAGAGCTGCACAAGTATTGCTCCCTGAACTTTTGTTTGGTATGCATTTCTAATTTCTCCTAGCTATTTGGGATCAGTAGGACCTGAAGAGTATAAGAAACTCATCATTGTCAATGATAACTAAGTCCCAGTGTCCTCAAACCAGACAACAACAAAGTCCTGATGTCCTCAAATGAGTACTTCCTAATTCACAGCATCTTAACTTTTAATTGTTGCTAAAATTGGTCAAATCTGTTGCCATATCAAACTACAAACTTTATTGATCATAGATAAACAAGTTTCATTCATAAAATCTGATCAGGTTTTGGACCTTGTCCACTTTTGTGTCGGGATCGGCTGCAGACTGACGTGGCAGAGATGGCCGCCATCTTGTTTTTACATGGATTAGTGTATTGTACTCTTACTACCACTAGATGGCATAAAAAAGTGTCCACGAACAAGGACAACTAAATTAAGTAGAATGAAGTTTAAGGTCCAGTAAACCCAAAATGTGATGTCCTTATATGAGGACACAGGGTCTCAGGAGGATAATATAAACTGAAATATTTATACTCAGTTTCAGAGACAAATCTGACACGATACAATGCCATACAATACAATACAATACGATACAATATACTTTATTGTATATACTTTATACTTAAATTTGTCTTGGACGCAGGAGCTGCACAAGTGATGCTGTAATAGTAGTAATATAATATGATATAATATAATCTATAAACCTTTTACCAAAATGTATGGACAACCCTGATGATGACTCGGTATACAGAAAGTAGTGAAACTGCACATAAGTGATTGAAAGGCTATCGATCTGAATCGTCATAAAGAAACCCTGCTAATGCTCATGAGGGTATCAAGTCTTTCTTTTCCAGAGGTTCAAATCTAAGTCAAGTCAGGAGTTACTAGGGCTGCAACTAACGATTATTTTCATTGTCGACTAATCTGTGGATTATTTCTTCGATTAGTCGATGAATCATTTAATCGAAAAATGTGTTAAAATGTTGAAAAATGTCGGTCTGTCTCTCCCAAACCAAAAAACGATGTCATCTAATGTCTTGTTTCATACTCACGCCAAAGGGTTTTAGTTCACCTTCATGGGAGAGTGTGTAAAGCTGCCAATATCTGAATGTAAGAAGCTGCAGTAAGAGTATTTTGTGGTACTTTATAGTACTTTTCTATGAGAAAAGACTCAAACTGATTCGTCGATTACTGAAATAGTCACCGATTGTTTTAATTGTCGATTAGTCGACTAATCTTTGCAGCCCTAGGAGTTACTGATGCTAAAGTCAAGTTGAAGCCTTTTTTTCCTGTTGTGTGAGTTCACACTTTGGGCCCTCTGTGTTTCTACCACTCTCCCTATTTGGAGACTCTTTCAGATTCTACCTCTGCTTTTGGCTTTTTGTGTGAGCACTAATGTTGATTTTACACCAGGAACAAATTTGATCTTCGGGGGGTTGAAAGCTGTCAGGATAGACTCACAGCTGACCTTGTTGTTTGCAACCATCTCACTATCAATCGTGCAGGAGCTGCTACGTCATAGGCTTCATGTATTCACATGGACAACCTCTGAGTGCCTGGTATCATCCCACTATGATCACAGACCCTCCTATTTCGTCACAGCACACCAAGGTCCACTGGTGTGCATGATGCGCATGTGACCTGTCTGCATAATGCATTATAAATAGGCTCTGTTATTTTTTTCAGTGTAAATCATTGTTGCATTCATAACACACCAATTCCTGACATGATGCATCCACTAATGCAAAACTTCAACACTAAAATAAACACGCTGTAAATGTAATGCCGTGAAAATCCTACAGGTTGTCTCATTCTTAAAGAGATACATTGATAAAGAAGAAAACATAATCTGACGAGGATTATTTTTGCTCCATACTTTGGCTATTTCTGCTCTGGAAAACCAGATCCTGCCAGCTTTTGCGCCTGGAAGCTGTCCTGTGTTTATGTTTTGCCTCTCGTACAGTAGTAGGCTACCCTGAGCAGAGAAACCCGCAGCGCCAGGCATGTTGAGTATGGGAGTTAAAAATAGCATCATCGGTCGGCCAAGCGCCGCTCCGTTACTACGCGTTTCAGCATTCTGCCCTGTGCAGGGGGAGTCTGCAGGACTGAGACCGCGGCAGCCTGTAATGAGCCTTCCACCTTTTTGTGGAGCTCTGCATCATGACACTGACTGAGGGCCACTTCTGGGTCTGCTGGAGGGTAAACCCAACCCGGAGTCATTTTAACCACCTTTACAGATTTAAAATAAGAGCCGGTTTATGAGGGGAAATGCGTAAAATAACAGCTTCAATCCAACATTTGGTGTTGTCTCATGGAGGCCAATAGAGCTCATGATTTACTCCCCATTATATTTGTGTATAGTGCTACTCCTTTGCTTCCAGTGACATGAAAGAGAGGTTTGACTACAGCCAGCAAACAACGGCCTTCCCGGTTTAAAGGAGGAGGGGGCTGCGCCTTCTTTAGCCTATCCTCTGCTATTTTACGCGTTCAGTGGATGCTTCATTGGACCGTCGCTGGTTTTTAGCCACCTTATAGGCAACGGAGGCTCCTGCTTCCACCTTCAAAGTGGGAGATTCTCCACCTGACGTCAATAGTGACTGACGCAGCCCCCAGGGGAAGGAAGTCTATTTCATTCCTCTATTTCTTCTGGAGTTAAATAAAAAGCAGGCCGCGTAAAAATAACAAAAATATCATTTTATCACGCGTAAATGTGCCACAGAGTTATATCTCTGTGTGAGGATTTTAGCCACAATTTTTCTAATTTGATTGGGTGGGGGCGTCTGTGCTCGCGCGTGTATGTGTGCGCGTAAAGGGGTGGTGGTTAGGGGTGGAGGGGGGGGGGGGGGGGTATCCACCGTGCGTTCAGCGGCAAACCGTAAATTAATAAAAGCCGAATTCTGCACACTTCCATGATTCCGCTGAAATCCGGGCGTGCAGTTTTCCACAGCATCATTATTAGCGGAGATGCTGGGCGTGCACGCGCATTTATCGCGCAAGGGGAAGGGAGGGGAGGGGAGGAACGCGGGAGCTCGCGCCAGCTCTCAAACGCTGCACGCTCGAAATTCCTCCAAGGAACCTCTGCGAGCTTTTCTTTTTTCATCACGCGCGAGCTAAAAATAGAAACGGGGTTGGATCGTGATCCAGAAATAGATAGGGGGCATCACTCCTATAAAAGGCACACCATTCAAGAGTACAGTGTGTGCACAGTTTGAAGAAGCGAAAAGCCAGAGCATATTTTATGGAGAAACTGGCTTTTTGTGCCCCTTTCTCTCCTCTGTGGCACTTTTCCTGTTTTTTTCTTTTTTTGACAGGAGGCTCCGCTGCTACAATGGTGAGTTGTGTGAACCTTCTTTCTCTTCTAGCTGCACCTGTTTCTTTTCTTCTTTCTTGGGTAAGGCTGTGTGTGCTCTTTATTCACACCGCTGCAAAACGTAGGGCAGCAGCAAATGTTTGATTAAGGCGGGATGTGCGCGGAGAGAAACGCGGTGTCATGAGTGTTTTGTGTGGATTTCTGCTATGTTTTTTGCAGCATGCTCGAAGGGGAATGGAAGCAGCCTGTGTGTGCAGCACGGGAATCACCCTCAGTTATGATTAAAAAGGGTGGATGTGTAGTCAGGCAGTTTGCTGTAGTTGATCTCATCATTGTGTGTTTGTTAATTCTCCATCAGAGAGATTTTGTGGGTGATTTTCAGGATGGTTTAGGAGTGAGTGGGGAGCTGTCCTCTGGCTGTGGTGCTGAAGTGCTTTAAGACTGCCTTTGCTCTCTCGCACGGAGCATCCTTACAATAGCACCGTGGACATTTCTGATAACTTCCACGCGCCAGGTTTCACATTAAAGCCTTTTAGGATATGCTGCTCTTTCGATCTTTGGCCGTTTTAAACGTGCAGCTCCATCACCGCCTCAGATGTCAGTGATTTTTTTCCCTGCAGCTCGCCGCCTCAGATACAGCGCTATACCTTTACGATCCCATCCTTGTTTGCAGTTGTTTTTTTCCCCCTTTTGTGCACGATGAGTCTCGAGTCGTGACTGCTAAAAGTGAGTAAGGCGCGTGCTGCGTCAGTGGCGTCTGGCTCCGGTGCGCTCGAGACAGATGGGGGGAATCGTGACCGGCTGGGAGACGCGTCCACGAATGAAAGGCTGGACGGCCCAATGAAAACGGAGCGAGGGTGGGGCCCCTGCTTCGGCAGCTGGAGCTCTGGAGCCAAATTAACCCTTTGCAAATAAAGAAAACTTTACTATTAATGACACTGGAGGCGCTGATCGCTTTCAGCTGGTGTTTTTTTATACTATAGAACAGGATCCACAAACAGGAGCCCACACATCTGATCAGTATCTGCTGTGTTTACATGTGTTAATGGTTATTGTTTGGTTTAATGTCGCACTGGTGTCCATAGTGAATGTTGAGGGGAAGTAATGAAACTGTCAGGTGCTTTGGCCTCCTGCTTAGGTGCTCTTTTCCTTTGCATCGCTATTGGTAGATGACGACTCGTCCTGTCCAATGAAACCGCGGCCATCCCTCTGCTGCGTGTTAAAGTCTATAACGGCAATGAGATGCCGCCTCTCCTCATCGCCGCTCTTTTTAATAACAAGGCTGCGTGTTGCTGCAAAGCAATGCCAATCCACTGGGTTTCCAGTTTTGGTGGCTACACCTTCGGCGGATGATGAAACCCTAAATGAGCTGCTCGTGCATGGACGCCCCTCGTGCACAAGGTGTTTTATCTGGGAACACTTTGAGGGATGAAGACCCCCGAGGAGTCGTGGACTGGAGTGGATGTGGATTTGGGAGCTGGAGCTGGAGCAGTTTGTCCGTCACGAATCTTTTTGCGGTCTGGGCTTGCTGTGCATACATGAATCTGGGAAGCCCTTACCCCAAAAAGCATTTGTGGAGGATATGAACGTCGTTGATTGTTATTGGGACTGAGAAGTCACTCTGAGGCAGGCTCGGTGATGTTGCTGTGTAACACCGAGGTCTGGACTCACAAAGTGTACAAGTGTGACCCAAGCTTTCAACACACACACACTCACACAGCCCAGCTGTAATAGCACGATGTCACACATTTTAAATGCATTTAAATCCTCTCCAGCTGCGAGGAAGTGAGTGAGGCCACAGGTCAAAATAGGGAAAACACACAAAAACAAGGAGTATTGTCTTGCACCTCAGAACACACTCCAGCACCTCCAACCTCACACAGCAGTGTACACTCATTCAGCAGCCCTCGGATTGTTTGGTGTTATGCTTGTGATGTGCCTAATTATGCAGCACAATGTTGGTTTCTATTGTGCTATAAATAAACATGTTTGAAAGAGGAACAGATGTGGAGAATTTATCAAAACCCTGCATTATTATAAACAATAATAGTCTTTATTGATTAATGATTCTGCATCAGAATTAAATGGAATTGTGATGCCCCCTTTTTTTTTTGGCTGATGTATATTTTCACAGTATCTTCAAAATGCAGTGTTTCCACAAGCAGATGAAAATGCAAACATGCTCATAAGTAGAAGCTTTTATGTGTTTTGATTTTTATATTTTGGCTGGTTTAACATCTGGGACGTAGACTGAATGTTGGACAGACAGAAGAGGAATCAGCTGTTGCGATTTGCTTTTAGTGATGTCTAAAGAAATAGTGAAGGCATTTACCCCTCAACCAAATCAGGATTCTGGGGTTTTGAGTCTTCTGAATGGACGTAAAATAGAAAATTAGAATCATTTAAGCGCTGCAGAAACCTGAAGTGCACTCACGTCAGGTTTTGAATTTTCTTGCAATTTCAATATTTTGCTTTTTCAAATACGCCTTTTCTCAAATCAGCAGTCAAAACAAATGCACGTTTGAAAACGCAACCTTTTCTATACATACCCAACATGCAACACATGGATGTTCTCCATGTGTTCAGGGTTGTCTTCTGCCCTTTGTGAGTGTACGGTTTCCCGTCACACTCACCATGCATCACTGTGTTCAAAAGCTTTATCAGTTTTCCTTCCTAATCAGGAGCAGCTGTCTGTGTCATGATCATGTATCTGCTTCTGTTTGTTTATATTATCTGTATTTCTTGTTGTTCTTGCCTTTTGAACTCACAGGTTCCTCTCTACGTCACACACACCACGGTGGGGGACGGCAGCAGTGACCCAACCACAGTGACGTCAGCAGGTGGAATCCACAGGGTGATGGGGAAACTGTAAAAGGGAAGTAAACAATAGTTTTTCATTATGATCAGTGTAAACTGCTGTCAACATGCTCATGCAGTGTGAACGTGACCCCACTACGCTGCATTTATTTTACATCTTGTGTGTCACCCTGACAATTTGCTGCATTTAAAATCTTCTTCTTTTAGGTCTTCTTCTTCATCTTCTTTTTGATCACCTCATATTACAAAAATGGAAATTCGTCTACGGAACTTTTCCTTAAAAAAAAAAACAAGGCAACAATAGACTCGCTTATCACTATTATTGGCAATAAAAACAGGCGTCTACATATTATTTCAAGCTAAGAATGAGCCAGCCATGTAAGGAAATTCTTTTGTTCTATTCAGCCTCGGCACCACAACAAGGAGAACATGTCACAACACGACATTGTGCTGACTATCAAACATTCATAATATTTAAGCGTGCAAACACTGGCAGCGCTCTTTGTAACTTAAAGTACTAAAAATCATCAGTCTTTAGATTACTGTGTGTTGTTTGTACACATCCAGTGACCTGAACACACTTTAGGTGATATATGATACAGTCCTGAGAGTATTTAAGATTTTCTGTAGTCCAACATGAATGAATGACCCCTGTGAAATACCTGAATGAGAGTCACCTCACAGGAGATCTGGCTTGGAGGCCCCTGACCCTTGGGGTCCCTGGGCTCTCATGTATGCCCAGGAGCAATAAGCGAAGCCCCTCCTCAGCTCCAGTGGAGCAGCCCAGCAGCTCACAGAGCAGACAGCTTCTGTTTCGGGAGAGTGAGGATGTGATTAAGCCTCACTGCTCCCTGAGACTTCCCCTCCAGGCCATCCTGTTAATCAGCTCACCTGCTTAAAGGAGAAGTAATAACAATGGCACAAAAGTTAGAACACACACACACACACACACACACACACACACTGGTCAGAAGACAGTCTGTGTCTGTCATGCATGGTTTTGTGAGGAGCAGAGTCGTGACAAAAACTTGCTAAAAGGGCAGAATTAGCAACAACTTGGGCGTAGAAAGACGATCAGATTAAAAATATCTTTGACCAGTACGATGCCACTTTTGGAGAAATCATAGAAATACTAAAATTATACATAAACGTACAGAGTTTAGATCCAGGGAGTAAAGACGTGTTTTCTCTTTCAGGGTCACATTGTTTGTGTCACATCATATTTGTCCTTGTCCTGTGCATCAGAAGGTGATTTGGAGTTTTTTAAATTTATTTTTGCATTTTCATTTTTGTGTGTGAAGAAACTCACTACACTTTTGCTGAATGTATCAAGATATGCCATCTCTTAGTTTTTCTTTCAATCTGTCCTTTATTTTATTTCATTTATTTATTTATTTGCTGTGACATTACTATCACTGTTTCTCTGTGTCAGTGACCACATCTTTTTCTGAAAAGCAAGAAACACAGAGCAAGACGTGTATTTGGAGTTAATGTGCGTCCATGTTGTAGTGTTACTTTTGCAGGTGTGTGTGTGTGTGTGTGTGTGTGTGTGAGAGAGAGAAGGACCAATAGAAAGAGAGAAAAGCTTTAGATTTTTTTTAAATAAATACAGTCTGAAATTAAATAAGGTGCATGCATGTGTCCCTTCATGTACAAATATTTAAAGCAGCCTGCATTACATGTGTGTGTTCAATCTATATGATTATTTTATTGAAATGTTACAGAGACATTTCTGCACAAGTGTCACCAAGCACCTGTCAGACACACACATGTTCTGCTCCTGCATTTGCATCAGGCAGAAATGTTTTAGATAAAATCAACAAGCATTGTATAAAAAAAAACAACAACACGTTGATCCCACTGTTTGTAGTTTTCAGATGTACAGCGAGCCGTCACATGTTTAACACTGACGAAACGGAAATCCACAACCACGTCTTCTCACTGCAGGTTCAGTAAATGCTCAATTATCTTAAACTTTATCATCAGATTCAGAACAGATGACAAAAAGAAACAAGATGCAGAGAGCAAGTTGTGTGAGGGGAGTCAATGTGCGTCCGTGTGTGTGTCCTCTGTGTGTGTGTGTGTGTGTGTGTGTGTGTGTAACCTTTTACTTCACACTCTTATTCCCCTCTTACCATGTGTGCTCTCTTGGCTCTCTACTTGTTAAAATTAATTTCATGTTTAATCTCATTCTGTCTTTTTTTGTCATGAATTTTCTCTTTTTTTGTTCAAATGTATCATAACATTTACAGCCTGTATGAAAAACCTAGATAAACTGATTAAAAAAATGAACCCTAATCATAAATATACCCCAAAAATGACTGAATGTGTCGACAGTAAATTCACCCAATTTGCTCTCACTATGGATGGATGGACAGTTTTATTGTATGCTGTTACCTGTGTGTGTTTTGCTCAAGAACGTGTTATATGTTTCAGTATTAATGATGATTTATTCATTTTTATACAGCAGCTTTATAATAAAAACAGTGTGAAACCCTCTGCCATGTGTCCTTATTGATTTTGCATGTGCAACACTTGAAGTATGATGTTTTTGAAAAGTGTAATCAGTGTGTACCTGTGTGACGTTTGTTGTCAAATAACAATTGAAATAAACATTATTAAAAGCCTGTGGAGATGATGTGTTGTGTTTTGTTTGTGAGTCACATTTAGACAGATTTAATAAAGTGTGTATTGTCCTGCAAAACCCACAAAGAGCAGAGTTTATTAAGTGTATTATTTAAATTATTATTTATTTTCTATGAATTAGGTGTTCTTTTAGTGTGTGTGTTTCTTTTAATCACAAACATTTGTTCTCAGTGTACACAGTTGTAAATCTCTGCAGCTTTACGTCTCTTTATCAGTAAGATCCATTCTCAAAAATAGCAAACAAAATAGACGTAACAACAAGGAGCTTTCCATAAACATGTGGTGCCTGTTCTGCACCGTGTTGTGTGATTAAAAAAAAAGTCCATATACATTTAATACATGTATATTTACAAACTATATTTTGTATGTTTTGTCAAGTCATCAGTGCAACAGTTTGAACTCTCAGCCTTCATTCACACTCACTCACACGTGGACATCAGGCCCACTGCACTCGCCTGCAGGCTCTCATGGTTATGATCAGCAGCTGGTCCATTTACGTCCGAGATGGCGCTTTAATCTAAATTTCATTCAGGTTCCTTTGAAAGCTTAGAGCCAACAGTTTAGACTCCTGTTTACCATTGCTGCATTTCTATTTTTAGATGCAATGCTCTTATGTAACGCTCACTCTCACATTATGGACCACTGCTGTCTGCTCCACTTGGCTGAATTGCGTACGCCCTGAGTGAGTGTGTGTGTGTGTGTGTGTGTGTGTGTGTGTGTGTGTGTGTGTGCCTGTATACTAAGTTAAATTCAATTATGTCTTTATAACTTCTATGAAGCAAAAAAGGAATTAAAAGGATCATACATGTAGCTGGGGAAACTATAAAATCAAACAAACATATTTACTTCATAAAAAGAATCCTGACTAAGGGTTGTTTGTTGACAGTTTCACTATTTAGACCCCCTTTTGTTCATATACACTCAAAAATAATTCTTACAAATCCTCAGGGTGAGTATGGTGTACGTGCTAAGAGTGTGTGTTAATGGATTTCTCACAGTACTGTAAGTATATTTCACGAATACTGTTCATAATTGCAAAAACCCTCACCACATCTCAGTATTTATTTCCATAAAACAAATAAAACATGAAGGAAATTAAGCTTAATGTTGCAATATAATTTGCTGGTTTTCGGTAGAGCAAATACAGAATTCACTTAGACACACGCCAGAGGTGTAAAATTGGACAGTGCACTGACTGTTAGGTATAGGAAAAACAGTATTATACACACATAGTATACATAATTATGGACTACTGGGATTTCACCATGTATTTTTGTTGTTGTCTTTTCAAACAAGGTATTTCAGCCTGTTAAGAAAACATCTTTAAACCTCACTGTAGAAGATGCAGGGTGGAACTTGATGACTGATATTGTTATTTTTTATTATAAGTAAGATAAAGATGATTTAAGAGAGAACTTGACAAAAAGCATAAATTGCAAAATAACCTAACAGCTGAGGAAAAGCCACACCACATATATTTTACACTATATTATATGCAGTGGTGGATGAAGTCTCTAAAAGCCACACTTGAGTAAGAATAAAGATATCTTATGAGAAAATGACTTTGGAAGAATTAAAAGTCACTTATTGGAATATTACTTGAGTAAAAATAAAAAGTATCTGATATTTATTGTACTAAAGCATGAAATGTAATTCTATTTTATTAAATCTATTCATGTATTGAAAGTAAAAGTACAAGTAAATGATTTTGATAAAAAGGCAAGAGGTCAGAATTTTGAGAATTATGATTTTTATTTCCTCTTAACATGTACACCACCTTCAAAATGGAGCCTATGTTACACCTAATCAAATATGAGGTCTTTTTCCACAACTTGAAGGAAGATCAATATTCAGTTCTTACTTCTCTTTCATTCTTTCATTTGTCCTTCGTTCCTTCCCTATTTTGTTTTAAGTAACAAAGGTGCTTAGGGAAAATATAAAGGAGTAAAAACATACATTTTTATTTTGGAAATGTAGGGGAATAAAAATGAGTGTTTACAGAAAATTAAAAACTCAAGTAAAGTAGAGATACTCCCAAAATAGTTAAGTAGTTTACTATAACAAAATATTATTATTTTGTTATATTACACCACTGATTATATGTATTTCTTTTTAACAAAATACGGGACTGGTGACAGTGATGACTTTGGTATGACACTAGGTGGTAGTAAAACTCAGATTTCTGAAAGCAGGAAAAGAAGAAGAAAACGGGCCAATCGCAGACACCCAAGCGCTAATGCGGAAGCGTCCAATGCGGAAGTAGCTCTTTCAATCCTCCTTACGCGTGCATTTGCACTTTGGGCTCTTGTTTTTGCATTAACACAGAGTTTCTAAGTGCATAGTTTACTGTTGTTAGATAAAACAGACAGAGGCGTGTGTGGTTCAGTCATGTCGTCGAGCGGAGAAGCAGTTTTAAAGGCCGTGGAGACGCCGCTGTTCTGGCTCGGTGCTCTGACCGCGGCCTGGCTCTCTGTGTGCTCCGTGTGCCGGCTGCTGAACGGGATCAGGGTGTGGGTGCTGGGCAACGGGCGGCTCGTGTCACCCACCAAGCTGGGGAAATGGGCAGGTGAGAAGCAGCACGGAGACAATAACAATCTCAAATGTGATTTAAGTTCATGTTCTGCAGCATTTGCAAACAAAGAGGACGTTTCCATTGATAAAATTACAGTTTTCCTCCCTTGCTAAGACACGCTTAATGAAACCGGAAACCATTAAATCTTTATTATCACCTCTGTAGCACATTAGTGGTCTTCTCTTACAAATGTATTAACACGATTTTATTGGTTTCACACATTTTCACACCCTTTTAAATCGGTTCACATAAAAAAGAAAGACCCAAAACTCTGTTAGATTAACTGTGTGTACACAGCTGATAGAAATTACTTGTATAGATGTAAGTCTCTAATGCAGGGGTGTCAAACATAGGGCCCAGGGGCCAGAACCGGCCCACTAGATGACTTTGCACTTGTGAGAGGTGTCAGGTTTAAACAGTGAGTAGACACCTCATGTAAAATGCTGCCTCAGAGGCTTTTCCACTTTGACCAGGATACAGCTCTCTGTAAATACAATGAATACTTAATGTACTGTACTGTACTCATATTCAAAGATATTAAACACTGTGCAAAATATTATATCAAAAAATAATTCACATGTAATGAAAGTGAGTAGTAGACCTACTCAATGTGGAAAAACTGAGGCATACTGTTGACTTGAATTTGCACATTTTCTTATGATATCGCGGGCTGTCATCATTTGTTTTGTAAATGGATTTTCAGATTGTACTTCTTTACACTCTTATAGGTGATTATGCAGTGGTTGTACTGGTCTGGCCCACTTGAGATCACTGGGCTGCATGTGGTCCACGAACTGAAATGAGTTTGGCACCCCTGCTCTGATGCACCTGTGTCAAACTACATTGCGCAATTCTTCAATCAGCAATTAGTCTTTATCCATCGATAAAAGATGCCACCTCAGTGTTGCTACTTGCAAGCCTATAAATGAATAATAAAGGTAATGAAAAGATTGAGGAAAACTTTCTGAGAAAATTTCCTTTTCTTTTTTTAAACCGCATTTCAGTAGGGTTTGTTATCTATAGTAAAACCCTCTTCAGAGAAGAGAATACAACTATGGTTGCAGTCGTTTGCTGGTTTTATGGTATACCGTGATATTAAAAATATCATATCATATTATCATATCATGTACATTTGCTTATCTATGATATTTAAAAAATGCAACTGGATGGAGAATTTGAACTTTATTTATTTTCTAAAGGGTGACTTTTTACACAAACTTCCATTTCAGTAAATTAAAATAAGGTTGTACCGGTTCATACTGATAGCTGTATTTTGTCGTCCACCGAGCAACGATTGATTGAAAGAACGTATTCATTTGACCATAAGTTGTGTTTTTTGATGGAAATACTTTCTTTGGTTGCATGTTGTCTGTGTCATTTTGGCCAGCGACGTTCATGTTAGCCCTGTGTGTGAACTGTTTTAAAAATGTAACTTCTGACTGAAAAAAATAATAAAGTTCAAGTTTATTGTCATATACTTTAAAAAGTAGACTGTACATTCAGTGTAATATACTACTTACCCTTAAAACCCATAAATAGCCTAATACAGTAAATAAAAATACATACTCTGAGAATGAAATGAGATATCATACAAACACATCATACCAGACAAAAATGACCAGAGTTTTTATTGGAGTCAGTCAGTTTCTTATAATTATGATAATTTTGTTATTAGTAGGCCTGTTCATGGCAAATTGTGTGTTGGTACAGCAGTGTCAGTGTTTAGATTCCTGGTGGTTCACGTCAGGGTACCCGCCGGGTCTTAAAAACTTGAAAAAGTCTTAAATTTGATAACCCTAAATTAAGGCCTTGAAAAGGTCTTAAATTTTGTTTACAAGTCTTAAATTTCATTCTCAAAGGTCTTAATTTTTCCTTTCTTATCTGCATGATACAGCTCAACAACATAACTGTATACTAAGTAAACTAACAAAAAAAAATCTTGGAACGTTGCGTTGCAAAATGATTTTTTCTGCGACTTTATCGATCTCCGACATGAGGTGGCGTTCCAATGCACTGTTTCGACTAGGAGGTCGGAAAATCCTGATTTCCGAGTTTTCTGGAACGCAGCGTTACGCTGGAGCGTGCACAGTCAGCCGCTGATCCACCGAGGTCGTCGCTCGCGCAGCAGCTTTGGGATGGGCAAGTGCAGATTTAATCCATCGTGGCTAAGTGACTCAAAATATGACTGGGTTCAGGCTGTACCAGGGAATGAGTGGGAGGCTCAGTGCAGCCTGTGCCGTAAAAAAATCAAGCTCGGCACAATGGGACATATGGCCTTGGAGTCGCACATGAAGAGTGCTAAACATTTAGCATGCTCACCAGATACATGGAGGCAGGCACCCATATCCCAGTTCTGCGCGGCAAACCCGACGCTAACCTCAACAGTCACCTCGGCTGCCAGCAGCACCGAGCCCACACAGCCAGGTAACATACGAGCTTTTTGTGGCTCGACGCCAACGCTTAAGGCAGAGGTGACGTGGACACTAAAGACGATATCGGACCACCACGCGAGCTCTTCAAAGTCATGTTCCCCGACTCAGAGATCGCGGCTACTTTCACATGTGGGAGCAACAAGACTGCCTATATAACTAAGTTTGGTCTGGCCCCTTTCATCACCAAACAACTGACCGAGCAGGTCAATAAGGCGTCTGGATTTGTGGTCATGCTTGACGAAAGTCTAAACAAAAGTACAAAAACTAAACAGCTGGACATTCATCTGCGCTACTGGGTTGGTGACCGCGTCCACTCAAGATATTTTGGCTCTGAGTTCATGGGCCATGCTATGGCGGTGGACCTGCTAAAACATTTCAAAGTAAGTCTATTTGTAATATTTTTGCACACAGGCGTGCGCACGCACACACTATTGTTTATTAAAATAAGTGATTGTTATTTGTCCCTGTGTTATGCTGTTATTCTTAGTTATTCTGACAGATTTTTTTTTGCATTATTTCATAAATGTATGCCAGAATAGGTGCGAGGTTGGTCTTAAATTTCATTGGATGTGGTCTTAAAAAGGTCTTAAAAAGTCTTAAATTTGAGTGGAAAAATCCTGGGGGGACCCTGCACGTGCAGATGAGCATCAAATTGAGCCTGAAACTGAAGGAAACAAAGTCTCTTTATTACTTATGAAACTAAGGATAATGTCTCTGCCTTGTTTTTGTAATGAATCAGCCATTCATTCTCCAGATGTGAATCCAACTGGCCAAAATGTAGGAAAATAAACAGTGTTTGTCTGTAGAACTCACAAAAATGTAGTAGTAGTAGTAGTAGTAATGTTACTCAATGACATTGTACCTCTTCTTAACTTTGTTGGTTCTTCATTCTCGCACTTTGAAAACGTTGCCCAGATCATCTTGTGTTGCTGTGACAGACTAACTGAACATGAAGCTTTAACTGTTGTTCACTGACCTCTTCTGGCTGAAAGATATATTCTGTTGCATCTGACCACATCCAGCATCAGTTTGAAGTGATATACACAGCAGATCCGCTGGCCTCCAGTTGAATTCTGCAATAACACATTGATTTATTGTTTAATCATTTGTAGCAACAGCAAACATACTCTTTGTACTAAATAGTTTGTACCGTTTACCTTTAGTCTGGGCTCTTTTAGGTTATCAACTATAGATAACAAGCCATTGAGCAATGAAGGGCTGCAAGCCTTTGACCAACCTGCTCTGAGGAGTTTATAAAACACTTCCTGCATATAAAATATATGTAAATGCTTATAATACTCATGTAGTTTAACAGTCTGTCAGAACTCCACCTTTTTTCTGAATTTGTTATTTATTTTATTCTATAAGAGAAAATGTACTCACTTTACAGAGAAATTCTATATTAGATACATGGTTGGTATTGTATTGAACTGCAGTATATTAAGAGGAGTTTCTTATGTTCTGCTCCAGGTGCATAAATGTAGACTTTGCAGGCAGTGTGGTCGCAGTGGGCCCCGTGGGGATGGATGGAGATAGGGCTCTTGCAAAATATACATTTTGCTACCTCAGGAATACACCGGTGCTTAAAGAAAAACTCAAGTAAATTAATTAAAAACATCATTTGCTAATATGCCCTCAAAACGGCAAACCCACTAAATAGTCAGTAGCAATCTATAAAACAAAAAAAAGAAAAACTATAACTTAACTGTCAGATATGCAGTGATGATTTTTTGGTAATATGTACAGTACAGGCCAAAAGTTTGGACACACCTTCTCATTCAATGCGTTTTCTTTATTTTCATGACTATTTACATTGTAGATTCTCACTGAAGGCATCAAAACTATGAATGAACACATGTGGAGTTATGTACTTAACAAAAAAAGGTGAAATAACTGAAAACATGTTTTATATTCTAGTTTCTTCAAAATAGCCACCCTTTGCTCTGATTACTGCTTTGCACACTCTTGGCATTCTCTCCATGAGCTTCAAGAGGTAGTCACCTGAAATGGTTTCCACTTCACAGGTGTGCCTTATCAGGGTTAATTAGTGGAATTTCTTGCTTTATCAATGGGGTTGGGACCATCAGTTGTGTTGTGCAGAAGTCAGGTTAATACACAGCCGACAGCCCTATTGGACAACTGTTAAAATTCATATTATGGCAAGAACCAATCAGCTAACTAAAGAAAAACGAGTGGCCATCATTACTTTAAGAAATGAAGGTCAGTCAGTCCGGAAAATTGCAAAAACTTTAAATGTGTCCCCAAGTGGAGTCGCAAAAACCATCAAGCGCTACAACGAAACTGGCACACATGAGGACCGACCCAGGAAAGGAAGACCAAGAGTCACCTCTGCTTCTGAGGATAAGTTCATCCGAGTCACCAGCCTCAGAAATCGCAAGTTAACAGCAGCTCAGATCAGAGACCAGATGAATGCCACACAGAGTTCTAGCAGCAGACCCATCTCTAGAACAACTGTTAAGAGGAGACTGCGCCAATCAGGCCTTCATGGTCAAATAGCTGCTAGGAAACCACTGCTAAGGAGAGGCAACAAGCAGAAGAGAT